ACGTGCGGCGGCCTGCCATGCCCTCCGTCCCTCGCCGCTCCCAAACAGCACCCGTCGGAGCGGCGGCGCGTGCCGCGGCAGGCACTGGGTGCCGGGAGGGGTTCGGGACTGTGGGCATCGCGTAGGTGACAGCCGGTCCCACTAAAGGACCCGTGGAGGGGAACCGTTCGCTTTTCTACAGGAGAACTATCTAAGCAGAGGGAGGGATTCAGTTTTTGCTGGTGTTTTCATGAGAGTCAAACAAACCAGGCTAACGCTGGAGCAGCTCCAACTGCCCAGAAAAGCAGTTTATCAGATTCTGCTCTTTGCAGAGGAATTCCGTCCCAGACACATTTGTTGAACAAATCCTTTTTTTCACTCTCTAATGTGTCTGTGGCAGTGATTGAAGTGCACGTAATGGGGAAAGCACACACAGCTGCTCCCTGTTAAATTAGGAGGCGAGGGGCTGTGCGCAGCCTCATTGAACAGCGTTTATCGGCTTGGGCATCGCTTAGCATCGCCCAGCAGCCGAACCCGGCGGCCGCCTCACGCACCACCTCCTGCTGACGGAGCTTCGGTGACAAAGAAAGGTGCTTGCCTGGCCCTCGCCTGGCGCCGCGGTGCTGCCGGGGCCGAGGACGGCGTCAGCCCGGTGCGTTCGGCGCTGCCATCTGGGTACCACAGCCCCCCAGGAGCCCGGCAAGGCTGGGTTTGTGCCGATGTCCCCCAACCGCCCTTGCACAGTCCCCGTGGCGCTGCAGCTCACCCACAGGAGAGGCGAAGCTGATTATCTGGAGCTTCGGTAATTAAGCAGCGCGTCCTCCGGCCGTTGGCACAAGCCGGCTGGGTTTCACCGGCCCCGGCAATTGCACGTGTTCATTAAGCGGGATATCTGGGAGGTTTGCAACACTGAAATGGTGGGCATATTTCAAGTAGACAGAAAATGGTCTGACGAGGCTTATCCGTAACGTCCCCCCGGCTCCTGGCTTATGAAATGTTTTGGGAACTGTCAGAATAAATCTCGCTGTGTAAAAGCAGGGGATTATTATAACTGCCTCTCAGCCCAACACGTCCCTCTTGTTCGGTGGAGGAGAACTAAGATGGATGAGGAGGCAGCAGGAGCTGCATGGAGCGAAGCTCGGGGGCTCCCCAGGAAAGGCACCTTCTCCTGCCCTGGACCGTCCCCCAGTGCTGCCCACGCAGCCCCCGGCCCCCGCCAGGAGGGGAAGGGCAGATGGCATAGCGTGTCGGGGTATTGATATAGCGCGTGCGAAACACAACCAGAGCCTTGAAAGCAGCTATTGAATTAAATCCCGGCTTTGTCACTCAAAAAGCACCGGTCTGCAATGGTGGGCCCCCCCTGCCGTACCTGCTGCTTCCAGTTACGGCACAAAATCCATCCTCGGTGGCGGCAGGCAGACCCGGAGCGACGGGAAAGCGATGCTGAACGGCGTCCAAGATACAGTCTGTGGGGATGGTGGGGACAGCAGCAAATCTGCTGCGCTGCGACGGTGTTATAAACGCTGTCTGATTTACAGGGGACAGTGTGCTTCAGAGCAGTTTATTAAAAAAGAAAGGAAAAGGGAAAAAAAAAAAAAAAAAAGCCAACCCAGAAAACTAATTAAGGAAATGGAGATGCCAATGATTTCTGGTTCCAGCAAACGCCAGCCAGCTCCAAACCAGGTTACAAGGTCAAATCTGCACAATTAATTTTAGCCAGTGAACAGAAAATAGGAGAACGGGTTTGAAACAAGAAGAGCCGTGGAAAACAGACTAAATGGGAGATGCTCTTATACTTCAATTAGTCCGAAATCAAGCACTGAAACCGTGTCCCTGTGTATTTGGTGTTTTTCTAATTCTTTTATCCTCGTAACCATGGTTGCTCTCAGCTCGAGGGGGAAGTGTAGCGGGGTGGGTTTTTTTAAGGTGCTTCCCACTCCCCTTCTTCAAAGGGCTTCGGGGTACTGCGGTGCCACCGTGCCGCCCGGGGACGAGCCTCCAAAGTCACCCAGTGGTTATTTTCCGCTAGCACTGCTGGGGATTCACGCCCGAGAGATCGCTGCCTCCCCCGCCGGAGGCGGCAGCATCGGTTACGTCCCTCCGCGGCTGATGGGGACTCCAGATGCTTTGCATTAGAGATGTGTAAATAACTCCTAATGAAGCTTTCCTCATCAGCGTTTCGCTTTTTTTTTTTTTTTTCCTCTTTTCCCTTCGGGCTGACTTTCTCCTGCCTTCGTCACTCTTTTCCCCAAAGGGCCAGAGGGGTTTTCTGGCTTTTTTTTTTTTTTTTATTATTATTATTTTCATGCAATGATTTTCCTTTTTGCTGTGCCATCTCTTGGGGCAGACACTGGCCCCGCATCTCCTGGGTCTGCCCCTCGCTGACCCTACCCCTTGGCCAGGGTGGTTTCCTGGGGGGAGGTGACAGTGCCTGGTGGCCACAAGGACGGGGTGCTGTGGCTCTGGGGACCCGCACTGCCCGCCTGTGCCCCTGGTCCTGTGGCCAGGCTGTCCCTCTGGCCACAGAGCTGGCTCGCTGGGCAGGCACGTGGCTGGTGGAAACCAGGGGTGGGCTAATGTTTTCAGAGGAACGGCTTTCTGGTGGGGAAAAAATGTGGTGTTTTGATGGAAAATGCCACCTTTGATTTTTGTGTAATTGATTTTCTCCCTTTTCTTTGACTATTAAATTATTTTTACTTGATAAAGAGGAAAAAATGCAGTGTCTGTACATAGATATTTAATATCTTCTCCATTCATGACTTCAGCATCACCAAATCGTGTCCCAAATCGGTGGTTTTCAGAGCTTCAATCGTGTGGGGAATGCCTTGGGGTGGGACGGAAAGCCCCGAGGGAGGTTTTGCGGGGCGGAGCGGGGCGGCAGGGTTCAGGAC